TTTTGAGCTATACGTTTATTGTTAGATATAAAAGAGGAGTACAACATGTCCCCATAGTTAAAACCCGATAACACCAGGCTCTCACAAAGTAAACGTTTACTGCTACCGGTTAGGAAATGACGCGCGTTATAAATGGATTTTAATTGACAGTATGCCGCCCGGATCTTTTTATTAATATACTCATTGAAAGTTAGATTCTCATCAATAATTATTCCCAAACTTTTAACTGAATCTTTGCACGTTAATTGTTGGTTTCCTATGCGTATGTCAAGTTTGGGTTTAATTCTTTCCCTAAGTTTTTTCGGGCCAAAAACAATAACATCGGTTTTTGCTGAGTTAATTAATAAATTATGACGACGAGACACATCCACAAGATTATCTAGGTCAGCACTTATCCGCCTGCAGGCCTCCTCCACCTCACCCTCGCCAAAAGACCCATAAAGCTGAGTGTCATCGGCATATTGGTGCATATTGCAAAAAGATACATGCTTGTGAAAATCGCTAGTGTATATTGAGAAAAGGAGCAGGGAGAGAACCGATCCCTGTGGGACACCTGTCGATACCGTCATTGCCTCCGACACCCGACCATCCACACTCACACGTTGCACCCTATTATCCAAAAAACTCCCCAATAAATTAACTGCCTTGCCCTTTAACCCTATATGGTGCAGTTTGGACAGCAAGATTTTATGGTTAAGTCAGTCTTAAGTCAGACAGCCTTTGAGGATTATTAATTTTAGGGAGGGGGTTTAGCAACGATATCTTCCACGAAGCCGGGAATGAACTAGTCTCTATGACATGATTTACAATATGCCTAACATATGGTATAATATGGGGGCAACACAATTTAATAATTTTTATATTTAAGCTGTCATAGCCCATAGCATTACTGTTTATTGCGTTAATAGTTTCCTCAACATTGGCTTCAGCAATTTCAGCAAATTCAAAAACCTGGCTATATAGTGTATTATTAAGATAATAATTGTAAAGGTCAGCATCATACCCCGATATACCCACACCGACAAAGTGCGCATTCAACTGGTTTAGATTTTTAAGGTGCGCCGGTACTGAAATTTGCTTCTTATTAAACAAACCCGCTTTTCTCAATGCTGTCCATTTATTATTCGCGCTTTTAATTTGAAGTTCAAGATATACTCTGCGCTCTGTACGGATAGCTTCCGTAACAATTCGTCTCATTGTTTTATAAAAGGTCCATTTCTGCGGTAGCTTTGTTGCTTTAAATTCCCGATATGCCCTGTCCCGAATTTTTTGCATAGACTTGATTGTATCAGTGATCCATGGCGACTGAGGTCTTACAAAACTGCAGGTTTTCAGTGGACAATGTACCTCTAGAACACTACATAGGGCGTTATTGAAAAAATTTACCTTAGAGTCCCCGTCGGGAATATCAAAAATGTGAAAAAATGGTATTCTATACAGATCATCAGCGAAGTGATCGTATTGAAAATATTTGAAAGAGCGAAAGGTTCTAATCAGAGGCGGATGTGGTGGGGTTTTAAATTTTAGATTGCAGTATATTATATCATGATCTGACATACTTCCCCCGTCTGCGACACCCACCTCACTGACCATGCTGCGGTCAGATACCAGTATCAGATCAATCAAAGTGGACGATGATTGGGTTA